CGAAATGCAAACACTCGGTTGCCCGAGCACGCGAATTCGGTATTAACCAAAGTGTAACTGTTTGGTTTGCGATGAAGATTAATCGACGAACAGTAGTTATTGCCGAGACTAGGTGGGCAAGTAGAATAGGACGGTTAGAGAGATGACCATCGATTAAACGATAGTTTGTTACAAAGTAAGTGATAAATTAGAGACGATTCTTAAGAAAAAGTAACTAGGACGCAACGAGTCCAGATTACATTGTTAGTTAATAAGCCTGATTGACCGATATTAGGAAATTCGAGATTTTACATAGCTAAAGAGAACTCGCGTAGTTGATTTGTGTTTAATAAATGTTTTTAATGTTGCATTATTTCATTTACAATTGCCACAGAAGATATGGACATATCCTATTTATTATATATATATATATGTAATTATATAATAGTAGTATTTATATAATAATTAATTAACTATGTTAAATTTCATGTCGTTTTTAGAGTTCAAAATTAATTTTACATTCAATTTAAAATGTTCGAATTATGTTCTATATCTGGTATTTGCAGAATGTGTAAGTAGTATAATTATAATATAAGTTATATAAATATAAAAAAACAAGCATATTGGAATTTTCAATTACATTTCTGAACTTTGCCCTTTGATTCAGTATCGCAAACATCATGGAACCTGAATTTCTTAATTAATCCAACTAAAGCACGAAACGTTCGAAAATTCCACAGCAAATAGAGACCCGGTCGAAGCCAGAAGAACGACCTTCTACGAGAGTCAACATGAAACAAAACCTGCATAAATAGGAACCCAGCTAACGTCGGAAACAAAGGAGAGTAGCCATTTCCAAAAATAAATTTCGAAAAACTCGATCGTAATTTCAAATTATTGGTTAATCAGAACGAAACGAATCTTTTCATTCCATTTTATAATATCCTCCTCCCAGATATATCCCATCGACGCTACGTTAGCGCATTCCATTTGCAATTCGTTTCAATTAACATACGACACTCAATTCTACTTTTGCGATATCAGGGCTGTGAAAGGAAATTCCAAGGTTTTCGCTTAATATCTTTACATCCTCGTTGTGTCCCGCCCCTGAATTCTACAATTCAATAAAATTTAAAAGTTGTTTGAATAGTGTAATAAATTGTCTGTCGGTCCTTCACACGGATTAAAAATTGTCAAAATTCTTCCACGAAGTGTAGAAGACACCACCAATCCGAAAATCTAATTAATTAACAAAAATTTATAATAAATATATTCTTGGAGTATATAAAATATATATTTATATTATATTGTATTGTATTATATATATTTATATTTTTTATATTATATTTATATATTATTTATTAATCATTTATATTTATATATTATATTATAATATATGATAATATAATATAATATATAATAATATATATAATTTATTAATCATTTATATAATTATATTATACTCCAAGATATATTATATATATACTATATATGTATAAGATATATATTTTCATAAAGTTTCAACAGACTGACGCATTTACACTGTTATGATAAATCGTTGCCTGGTCCTTAATGGGTTTAAAATTGCTGGAATTGTTTCAATATATTAAATTATAATATATGATACTATAATATAATATGTAATAATATATATAATTTATTAATACATTTATATTATATCATTTATATATTTATATCATATTATATATGATATAAGATATATATTTTCATAAAGTTTCAACAGACTGACGCATTTACACTGTTATGATAAATCGTTGCCTGGTCCTTAACGGGTTTAAAATTGCTGGAATTGCTTCAATATATTAAATTATAATATATGATACTATAATATAATATATAATAATATATATAATTTATTAATACATTTATATTATATCATTTATATATTTATATCATATTATATATGATATAAGATATATATTTTCATAAAGTTTCAACAGACTGACGCATTTACACTGTTATGATAAATCGTTGCCTGGTCCATAACGGGTTTCAAATTGCTGGAATTGTTTCAATATATTAAATTATAATATATGATACTATAATATAATATGTAATAATATATATAATTTATTAATACATTTATATTATATCATTTATATATTTATATCATATTATATATGATATAAGATATATATTTTCATAAAGTTTCAACAGACTGACGCATTTACACTGTTATGATAAATCGTTGCCTGGTCCTTAATGGGTTTAAAATTGCTGGAATTACTTCAAACAGAAAGGCAATCGATCGAAGTTGTTATTCGAGCGTCGATCGACAACCCTGAAACGAGGATCGCGGAAAGCCGTCGGGGCAATGGAGGGTGAGGTAGGAAAGAGCGTCGAGGCGGCCGGGCAAAGGATACGTGGTACCTGGTGAGCGGCGTGCCGAGGGGGTGATACCGAGGAACGAACGAATCCGTGACGTGCCTCGAGGGCAGCAACCGACACGGCGAGTTGCAGTGGACGTCCTTGCTACGTTATCTTTCACGGTTCGTTCCCTTTCACTTTCAGTGTCCAGGAACCAGAAAGCCCAGACCTCCACGAACAAAGATATACGCCTCCGCCTTCGCGTTGTCCATGCGAGATTGAAACACGCCAAGAGAGCACGAGCCAGATCTTTCCACCTCTCCGCCTCACTCCCCACGACGTCCTCACCGAGACTTCTTCTTTCATTCTGCCCTATTTCGTCTCTTAATAGCGGTTGCTTCTTCTGGCAAACCGATAATTATACTGTACATCTCGCTGCGCCACAGGTAAGGTACACTTACCAAACGACGCGTGACGTTCTCATGTCCGATTTTCCGTGATCGTGATGGAGAAGTTACTGGTAACATATGTCGCACGATATCTCGACGACGATGGGACTCTGGATGGAGGGAAGACTGTGTTTCATTTCGATTTAACGAACCGAGTGTGAACGATGATTTTTGTTTTCATAGATCAATAGGGGACAACTAATTTAATTTTGCTAATCGTATTTAATGAAATTGTATTTGCTTTGTTTCGTTGAAAAGTATCGCAAATTCGGAGGGACGAAAGAATTTCTTGTTTTTCAATTTTTGCGAAGACGTTAGGGATCCCTTTGTTTGTTGGGAAGAGGAAGATTAGGTGATTTGGTATTTCATTTTGAAGGAAAGTTTGCCAATTCTTAATCGTTGTAAAGCGTTTCCAACAGAAATGGTTTTTTATTTCAACGTGAACTTTCGTTTCCGGTGTCAGATTTTATTCTCAGATTCGATGAAAATTGAAAGTGTATGTTATAAACTGTCTTCTCACCAAGAGACCAAGATGATTACACTCCTAGAAAGGTCTAATCTTCTGTTCTTTTACTAATATCATGACAACACGAGTGATAGACATTCCATCGAGGCAACAAACCGGATAGTTGCAGAAACTTCTTATTCCGGTTTCAATGAATCACTAATTAGTTCGCGAGGAGACCCTTTCGCAAGTGTGCTCGCGCACAGTTCATACAGGCGAATTTTTCTCGCGGAAAACGCAGCTACGTAAAACGTAGAATTCATAGAGTAAAAAAACGTGGTGGAAAATATAGAAAGTCGGTTACCGACTAATCCGTTACGCAGCGTTTACTTCATCGTTCACATTTATTTCGATATTTACTCGATATCCGACATTTACTCGGTGAATTTGAACGTCGATAGACTATCGAATATCGCGGTAATTCGTCTCGTTTCACCAAGAATTCTTATATATTTTTTTTTTTCTTTTTTTCGATCGTTACGCGATGTTTGCAGCGGAGCGGTTTCTTTTCATTGACCAACTTTCTTCTTTAATACGCGTGCTCTACTTTATAGTTCCTCTTTTCTATAAGCTGTACATTATAGTCTGTGGCTCGTGAAAGTATTTCAGAACATTATGTTCATTATGTTCTGTGTTATATGAAATATTTTTACATTAGCTTCTACTGATAATAGCAACAGGTAGATTGCGGATTTTTATGAAAATTATAAAATTATAAAAATATTATTGAGAATGCAATTTAAAAAGTCGAGCTCTGATAAATTTTATACTTTTTTACATTATGAGCATTTTACGTGTGAAAATTTGCAGTCGTGACTACATTTATAAAATTTTAATTTAAAAAATTAAATTAATTTAAATTAAATTTAATTTAAAAAATTTAAAAGAAAAGTTAATTCAAAGCTACAGAATATTTACGGCAAACATATATTTGGTAAAAAATTAATACACCTATAATCGAGAAGATAATTATTAAATCTATAAAATATTCTTAATGCATTTGTATGCTTTTCAATTAATAATTAGTAATTAATATCTTGCGACGGATAACATATTATATTCGAAAAGAATGGAACAATCATTTATTTTAAAATGGAAATTCATTAGCTCAGCTATTTGAATGTGTAGAAAGCAATTTTTGAAGTACAGTTCACACTTCCTAATTCATTTGTTATTATTCGAAACAATTCACAGCGTTCACGCTTCACGCGGAATTATACACACAGGCAAAGACGTTTAATACCAGAGTTGCGTTAGCTTAGAACTTCAACTGACTATATGAATAATCATAAATTATACCTCCACTTTCTCCTCGAATGATAAATAACATTAGACGACAGTTTAAATAATCCTTCATTGGACAAACCTGTATTGTCCTCTCAAAGTGAAAGCAATTGCAAGTTACCAAATTTTTATTAAGATATTCAGATGTTTAATATTTCTATGATGCTTTCGACCTTATTGATCCACAAATTTTAATTTCGAATTCTTGTTCCCAATATCTTGTGATGTGGAAATTTTCGAATTGTCGTTTCGCTTAATTTTGGTAGTTTAGAGCTCATGAAAAAGATACGAACTCGTTTACGAGATTTCCAAATTGTTGTGACACTTAGGATTCATAAATTACAATTATCTAATTTGCAAGATCACGATTGTTATTCAAGCGAGAGCGTTATATATCGCCATTATTAATTTCTTGAAAGACACTTGGCCGTAACAGAAATATTTTTTACTTGCAGAATGTCAAAAAATCAGCAACCGAATGGAATGATACCAGGCGGTGACGCGGTGGTTGGCGCTGACGATTTTTCCGATGGTGAGAGTACTCCATTGACTCAGGACTATGGCGATAGGTATGTGGTAGAAGTGTCCTTAACCAAACAGCGAATGGTATTCGCAAACGTTTTATTTTTAACGGAGAGAGAAAGGGACAAACCAGGCTTGTTTTTCGTTCTTTGACTTGAACTTCCACGTGTTCTGAAAAAAGTTGTAAATGCCACCTCGATTTAATTTTCTCTCAACAGATGTTTCAATGAAACTGAATTAATTGCACAATTTTATTATTTATTATTATTATCAGAATAATAGAACTTTTCATTACAGTTTGTCTTTTGATGAAGTTACATGCATCTCAAAGTAATTACTTTCAAATTTAACATTCATCAAATATTCTAAATATTTATTAAAATTGCTATGCACAATGCTTCTTTTTTTTTAACAATATCGATCAAGTTCATCTTTCATTTCCATTGTTCTTTATCAAATATTATTTACATCACACTATGCATTACTTTTCTTATTTCATTTAAATAATTTATTAGAACCAAAGCGATCAATTGTTTCAACAAATCACACTTCTCTGTCGTACTAAAACAGTCTGTGTATTCTCAGTAATTTGAATCAATCGCTTAAACAAATTCGACTGAATCTAGTTGAATTAAAATACAACTTAAGACTTATTCTGAGGCTCACTCTGAAACTCTGAATTTCCTGTGACACAGTCAAAATGATTAATTGACATATCGACTCCAACCTGGAAACGTAGTTGGCTCGTTCGGATAACTGTCTTTTTTGATCTCTAGTCAAAGAACAGTCGTGGAGACGAAGGGATGGGACGTGTTCCGGAATCCACCGCCAAAGATCGATTCCGGCTCGATGGCGAATCAAAGGTGCCTCGAGGTGACGGTACAAATCACGAAGATGATTGTGTACCTGTTAGTATTTGTGATAGTCCTAGGGAGCGGCGTAGTTGCCAAAGGAACAATTCTATTTATGACGTCGCAGTTAAGAGCCAATCGAACGATCGTTTACTGCAACAGGAAGTTAGGTGAGTGATCGTTAAACTTCCGTACATACCATCGTTATCATCAGATATTCTTTCATTAATCTTTAGACTTTTAACGTCTCCAGGCGATTCGATATCTTGGCTTTCCTTCATTCGTGGATCGAAGGAAAGTTTTTTACGACTGGGGTTACATTTAATAACGTTTACATAAATATTTTATTTAATTGACATTTTGTATATAATTATTCACTTAATATTTTTGTGTGTAATTCATATAAATTCTTTCGATGGAATTTCTACGACTGGGTTACATTTAATAACGTTTACATAAATATTTTATTTAATTGACATTTTGTATATAATTATTCATTTAATATTTTTGTGTATAATTTATATAAATTCTTTCTACGACTGGGTTTACATAAATATTTTATTTAATTGACATTTTGTATATAATTATTCACTTAATATTTTTGTGTATAATTCATATAAATTCTTTCGATGGAATTTCTACGACTGGGTTACATTTAATAACGTTTACATAAATATTTTATTTAATTGGCATTTTGTATATAATTATTCATTTAATATTTTTGTGTATAATTTATATAAATTCATTCAATGGAATTTCTACGACTTGGTTAGATTTAATAACGTTTATATAAATATTTTATATATAATTTCAATTACAAATTCTTTCGATTTAATTCTATAACAAATGCTTTTTCTTGTAGCAAAATATTTTTATTTCGATCTAACGTTGTACGTTCCACGTTTTTCTTAATTTCATTCCAGATACTGTCTGGAAGTTATCAGTAGAGTAATACTAATCGAACTTAAAAGTAACTTAATGAAGCAGTGTAATATGAAAATAAGTTGTTGAAGTTGTTAATTCAACGAAGAACTAACATAAAGCTGATAGAAATGAAATTGAAGCGGTGCAGAATTAAAAGTTCCCTTTTATTTCAATCCATTTATATATCTGTGCAACAAATGGAATTAAAGTAACAGCATCGTAAAATTGATCGTTTATACGTTGCATTCGTATTTGCATCTGAATCGAACCATCGTTGCGCTCGATGGCCATGGTTTTGTAAACCACGTTACGTTTGTACAATGAATTTTCTCCAAATTGCTACAAAGTTTGTGCATTGAATCGTGCGTTTGATACAAAATGTAATTTGACGAGAATAATCCGGATCCGCGATGTGATCGTAACGCGTTATCTCCGCTTCTCTTCCCTCGATTTCCCTTCTTGTATTATATATATGATTATTGTATTATATTATATGATAAGCCAATCATCGTTTGGAAAACGACTGCTTTGTAGGATTATACGTATCATTCACTTTTTGTGTGTCTGTGATAGAGGATTTTGTAACAAATCTTCCGTAGATTTTTCTCTGTTCCTTTCTTTTGTTCCTTTTTTTTTTTTTATGTGAAATAGTAGAATTCTTTTAACTTCACTTTTAATTCTTTGATCACGCAATAATATAATGAAGAATTTAGCGTGAAAATATATGTATAATCGTTGAAAGTTTCAGTTCTAGTTTTTAATATTAACTCTGTTTAAATTGGTAATTATATCGCGGATTTAGGAGAAATTTAAAAATACAAATGATTTGTAAAAATACATCCTCGATTTATTTCTTTTACGCGAGTTTTACATTAACTGGTTCGTGTAAACGAAGTTCGGCTAAATGTTCTATTGTTTATGAAATGTTCAAAATAGAATAAATACTTATTTAACATGTTCGCTGCTATTCACCCCGCATTCTCTTATTTTTTTAAAATTGAATGGCTATTTGTGTTAGTGGCGAAGCGATTTTGCGATTTTTTGTTCAAAAGCACATTGCTCAATTTATGATTTACGGCTGAAACGGGTACTCTTGCAAGTAGATTGTTTTTTAAAAATTAGTTACGGAGATGACCATGAAACATCCACTAGCATTTTATCTACATTATGCAATTAGATGCCCATATGTGGCAAATTGTAAAGCTGTCATTGATGCAAAATTGACACCGCACGTGTTTCATCTGCATCTGTTTGAGCATCAAAGCGGCAAAACTTTCATAGAATGACGTAAAAAGTGGATTGTACTCGCAACACAGTTGCCGCGTATAACCGCGACGCCAGTCAAAGGAGAGAAAGTACGTGAAACCAGGCTGGAAGCACCGCGTAAGCGAGGCTGCCTTCTAGAAAATCGTGTTCGATTCTAGATAATGAAAGTTAATTAAAAATAAATCTTATAAGCTCCCCTTTTGACGTGAACATCGCTTTTTATAGTATACTATGACATTCTAGGAGTTACGACGACGAACGGTGTAGTGGATTCTTCATTTTGAAGAAAATAATGTTGGAATTTCATCGAATGGAAATAGTGATTTTAAAGAGAGAAGCTTTGGCCTTTTACTTGAAACTCGACTTCCTTTGAAAAATTTTAGATTAGATTCTTCATCAGTTATTTGTCATTTTAGCGTGTACAGTATATTTCTGTGTTAAATTTCCAAAATATGGATGATAACTTGGAATCACAGATTCTTTATACTTTTAAAAATCTCTCGGTACACTTTGAATTGCATTTTGGCTATTCCTGTTTTGGATAATAAGATTGAGTTTCCTCTTGAATCGAAATAAATACGCGATTAATGACTTCGAAACTATTAATTACATAATGTTTCGTAATTATTATTTGTTAAAATACACAATGTTTTGCAATATTGTTGATTTTATGTCACATTAGACGAGTGTAAAAATGTTGGTAACATATGGTAATGATATTATTTTAAATATCATTAGATAAATGCAAAAATGCTGGTAATATACATAATATCGTATCGTTCGTAAAATTTATATCGTATTGAAACGTAAGAAAGCAAGAGTAATTTATAAGGTATCAGAAAGTGAGTGGTAATAAGTATAGTGTAATAATAAATAATAACTAACATAGTGTAATAATAAATAGTCACTGACAATAAGTACTGTAATAAGTATAGTGTGATAATAAATAATAACTAACATAGTGTAATAACAAATAAACATTGACAATAAGTACTGTAATAAGTATAGTGTAATAATAAATAATAGCTAACATAGTGTAATAATAAATAGCAACTAACATAGTGTAATAATAAATAGTAATTAACAATAAGTACTGTAATAAGCATAGTGTAATAATAAATAATAGCTAACTTAGTGCAATAATAACTAGTCACTGACAATAAGTACTGTAATAAGTATAATATGATAATAAATAATAACTAACATAGTGTAATAACAAATAGTCATTGACAATAAGTACTGTAATAAGTATAATGTGATAATAAATAATAACTAACATAGTGTAATAATGAATAGTAACTAACAACAAGTACTGTAATAAGTATAGTGTAATAATAAATGGTGCTAACAGTAGTAACTAACAATATAGAAAAGTATTTTCTGCTGTTTTGTATAATTTCGCTTTAAATAGGTATGTTTCTTGAGCGATCACTCTGTCGCAGGTCGGGACAAGCAATGGATGGCAACGTTACCGGAAGAGGAGAGGATAGCGTGGATCTGGTGCATCATAATCGCGTTCGCGGTGCCAGAATTCGGCACGTTAATTCGCAGCATTAGGATATGCATCTTCAAGTCGTGGAAGAAACCACCGGTTTCCCACTTCCTTCTCGTCTTTCTCATGGAAACATTCCACGTGGCTGGTCTGGCTCTGATGTTTATGGCAGTGCTTCCTGAACTGGACGTTGTTAAAGGCGCGATGCTGACGAACTGCGTGTGCTTCGTACCTGGTTTACTAGGTAAGGGACCTCTGTGTTTTCAACTTCAATTTTCAACTTTGGAACTGGCGAAGCAACATTTTTCTCATGCGATCAGCGGAGTCGAGATCGATTTGGTTGCAAGATGCAAGAGAAAGTATGTATTTCGATTAACCAGAGACATCAGAGTGATCGTGATTCTGCATAGAAATTTTTTGGAGATTTGACAAGCTTACAGAGATTTTAAGAACTTTAGGGATGCTTAGAAACTTATTATAGATATAAAGATATCAGAATTTTGAGAGATTCAAACATTTAAGTACCTTTGACAATTTGAAGAATCTCTTAATTCCTTTCTAAGATTTTCAAACATTTTTGGGACATTAGAATTTTAAGAATCTTAACCATCTTGTGAATTTACAATATTTTGCAATATTTTTAGTTGAATGGTAAGTTGGCAGAATAATAGAGACTATAAATGGTTTCAGCCAGAGAGTATTATAATCAATTGGATATGACATTTCGAAAGTAACGTTACAATATCGTATTGACCTCACATTGTTGTTCAAATATTCAATTCTAGTGTCACAGAGTGAACGGTTTCAATCTCTCGACTATTAATTTGAAAGTTCGAAAGGTAATTTTGTAAAATGTTTGAACCGCAGAACTTGAGATTTTAATTTAAATTACAATTTCACGACGTCTATATCCTTAATAAACAGAAAATTTTATCAAGGCGAATGAAGTGTCTTAGAAAAAAATAAATAAATAATTCATCATTTGATCGATGATAGAATACATATGAAACATTTCAATTAATTATATTACGAAACAAAACAAAAAAATCTTCGCTTCCTGATATCGTATTTCAAAGAAATACTGAAATATATTTCAGGAAATCGTTTTCTTTTGAAGAGAATGCCGCAGGTTTCGATTTTCCAATTTTAATTGATGTCGGATTAAAAGAAGGCGTTTAACTGTTTAAGGGTTGCTCTCCCGCAATAAGAACAAAGACGAATCGAAGAGATTCGTTTTGGTGCTGATCGATATTGCAGCACTCGCTGCACAGGGAACAAGTTTCTTCCTTTGGCCATTGTTGGATAGTTCCCGGCCCTCATTATGGCTCATACCACCGTCTCTGTTCCTGGTTTCGTGCGGTTGGTGGGAAAATTATGTTTCAATGCAAAGTCCGATCGGTAAGTATCACGATATCAGTGACAGGTCATTAGGAAACTGTTGCCGAGCGCAGAATAAATTTGTAACGATCGAAGAATTTGACGAAAGTCAATCAGAAATCTCTCGAGCGAATCTCAATGCCGTTTCAATATTTGGGAATTAAATTAAATAAGTAGCACTCGAAACTTTCAGAGTGTCATCTTATTATTATAATTGGATAGAGAAATTTATGAGAAATTTTAAAGATGCGAAAGTGCACAGAACACGCGTTTATAGATATATAAAATATCTGAAGTACAATGCTCAATTATCTATCTAAAAATTATTCACTTTATAAAAACTACAAAAAGTAATCACACTCAAGATTCATGATGTTATAATTTATGAATGAAAATTATATAAATAAAAATTTTATAAAATTATATTTTAAATCAAAATGTAGTATATTTAAGAATAAATGAAATTGTAAAAAAATTTAACTTTTGAATAATTAATTTTAATATTAATTTGGAAGGAGGATTTAATAGTAAATAGTAAATTAATTTAATTATTTTAATTGAATTAAGTATTAACAGGACTTATTTATAGTTCCATGAAAATTGTAAAAACTATGGAAAAATTAATCCTACTTTTTTGCTGGCGAATTTTAATATTTTAATATCTCTCATCGATCGATTTTTATCATGTCCGTTAGGATTCGTCCGATCTCTTGGAAGGGTGAAGAAAGAAATGCGGCTGACGAGATACTTCACTTATATGTTTATTCCGCTTTGGAAAATTGTGGCGTTCATTATCTGCTCCATGTTGATATTGCACATCAAGGGGCAAACGGTTGGCCATTTGTTCACGATGTTGAGCGACGCTTTCGGGAGCCATGACATTATGGTGTCGGCGGTACGGTTCGATGCCACTGACAGAATCACCGACATCGCCGATATCTTGGAAATTGGTGATAAAGAACCTGTACCAGCGAGCACAGACACTCCTATATACGTCCTACTGTTGCAAATATTTGGTGCTTACTTCACATATGTATTCGGTAAGTATCTGCATTTAAATCTCAAGTAACATAACTGAGTCATAAATATAAATAGAATAATTGAAATAACTGAAATTTATTTATATAATATATTCTCCATGATGAAGAAATAAGTTAAAAAAATCCCAAAATTAAGTAATTTTGCCAACTCTACATTGTTATAGTATCCAATGGTTCAGTTATGGGTAAATGGTCAAACATTTGAAGATCTCGATCGAACTTCTTTTTATACAAAAATAAATTAAATAAATATTTTATATTTTATATGAAATAGAAACAAATTAAACGTACAGATATAAAGTGATTAAATTTTTATTGTCTTTTATATAAAATAGAAGTTTTATATTTTATATAAAAATAAATTAAACGCACAGATATAAAGTGATTAAATCTACACTCGTCTGCTTAAACATTTGGCAAATTGTCTAATTCTATACTAATTATTCAAACAGCGTAGAACTTTATCTCATTAAATGCACCCCTGGAGGCTAAATATATTTATCCAAACATACATTGTACAAATTTCAATTACAAGCTTGCATAGACGAAATTTTACATACCTCAATTTCGAAAGCTCGTAATTACTTTATCAATGTTTGAAATATCTTTTAAAGTTTACGTGCGGGTGCAAATTAATAAAGTTCTTGAAACGTTCTATCGTTTTACCAATTAACGAGTACCATTTACTTCGTCATTTCAATAACTCCAAAAAAAAAGAAGATATTTTGAAGAGAATTGACAACGCGACGTAAAGTCGAGATTACGAATTGAAGAATTTTTTTGAGCGAACGAATCTATGATGCACGTATTGGCGAAAACTCGAAATCTTATTATGTTGAAACAAAGTTTACAGTCTTGCCTATAAACAGGAAAAAAAGCGACGTTGAAAATAGAATTTCGCCTGTTTTATACTATGCGCCGATATAATATTGAGCGCACACCTGAATTGAATACCAACAAGTTCACGCTATTTATTCGCAAGACCATGCGTGTGGGATTTAAGATAGATTCAGCGTATGACATACTTTTGTTTCTTCACAGCTACTGTTAGAGTGGAAATTCATCGCTTACCAAGCTGATTTAGCATCCTTTAAAACTGATCATTAGATAATTTTATTACGTTATTATATGTACAGAATGTACATATAATAATAGAATCCAAGCTTATAGCTTGACTCAACAAAGATGATGCCAATTCGCGAAAAGTTATCAGTTTAATTGATAAGTTTCGAATTTTTTCGCCACAAATGAACAGTATCACGGGTTACTATTTAAAAATTGATTTTATTAATTATAAATTCACAAGATTAATAAATTTCAAAAGACGTAACGTATTCGTAGCTTTTATTTTCGACATCGGTAATTTTTGTCATTCCTGTATCTGAATAAATGGCACATAATCGCTTCGAACCAAAGGATGAAGTAGCTACGCGTAAATGAAAATCACGTGGAAAATTTATGTATGTATGTCACTTGGCAATGTAGAGTTTTTCGATATCACGCTGTTAAAAGAAGAAGAAGCAAGTTGGTAGCAAGATACAAAATAAATTTAACAAAACTTTTCGAGAAATAATAATGAAATTATGAAATATAGAAATAATGCGCACGAAAACTCTATATTTTATCCTTGTTTTCTAAGTCAACCATTCCTTCCTTCTACTTTCAACCTACAAACTACTCTTTCTCACCTAATTTTCTTAATTTCTTACTTATTTATATTAATTATCTTAAATTTAGTGACTATTTCTGCTTCTTTACTGCACTGTTTTTTTTTCTATTTCCGCTTTTAATAAGATTGGGTATTCCACGCTTTCTAACCTAATCTCCCTTTTCCTATTTCCTCTATTATTCGCTTACCTTCTACTTCCAACGATATTTACCTAATTATATCTCCACTACGGTACCTATTCTACCCTCTTTTGCCTTCATTTTTGGAATCTATTCCCTTTTATTTACCTTAGCTCTCTATTTTTTCGCATCTCTTTACCATACAAGCCCTCTAACCAAGTCCATATTTTATCCAAAAGTCAAAGTGAATTTAATTCGAAAAGCGTGTTATCGGATTATTTTTTAATTAACAGTCGAAAATGAAAAAGCGAAGAGTAGCGATTCAACGCGTTTCCCTTTAATTGTATACTGAAAAAAAGAAGAAAGAAAGAACGAAAAAGAAGCGGATATGAGAGAATAAACGGTGTATTTCGTTCGTTTCAGGTAAATTCGCGTGCAAAATTCTGATACAGGGTTTCAGTTATGCCTTCCCGGTGAATCTAACGATTCCGGTGTCCATATCCTTGTTGATTGCCGCCTGTGGCTTGAGAAACGATGATCCTTGCATATTTCAAGACACGATCCCGTATTATTTGTTCTACGAGTCGCCACCCTCGCATTTCCTCAACGATTTCGTGTCGAAGCAGTACGCTTGGGTATGGTTGCTGTGGCTGCTGTCGCAAACTTGGATCACCCTGCACGTCTGGACGCCGAAATGCGAGCGTCTCGCTGCCACGGAGAAACTGTTCGTCGTTCCAATGTATAATTCCCTGTTGATCGATCAATCAATGGGTCTGAACAGGAAGAGAGACGACCAACCGGAAGTGAAAGTCGAGGTAACTTATTTTAGAAACAGTTTCCTCAGCGAGCGGCTTATTTGCACGACGAAATTTCGATTGATCTCCCTTTAGCAGAGTTTTGGATTATCTTCTGTGTTGATACAATTGAAAAGTTGTTTTTTTTTTTTTTTGAAGAAAAGAGCTTATGAGTTTATACAGATATTTTCCAGTTAAGCAGTTAGTATGAAGCTTCTGTCAAAGTCGAGTGGACCATAGTCGAGATTTAAAGGATCTTTTTTTAACATTTACAATGAGTATTAGGAATTATTATAGTTTTATCTGTGAGTATTTTGTACTTTCGTTTATGTATACTTTCTTTGAATTCTTGGTACAAATAAGAATGACGTCTGACAAAAGAAACGTATTCTCTTGAGTATTTTTCTGAACAATGTAAAAATATCCTCGTCGGTCCTATAGTTATAAAATAAGAGCACGTGAGTATATATTCGCAATCTTAAATTAAATCTGTCTTCTTATTATTTTCGGGTCGGCAATCTAGTTTTGCCGAGCAAAATCGTTCTTCAACTGAGAGAACAGGCACGAGAATGAACTGACGTAAAAAGATGCTATAAAAAGTTTATTTAATAAAGTTGAAATAAATTCATATTGAAAATATGATAAGTTCAGATTGAAAATAATTTAAAAGTTATTCACAGTAAAAGTTATTCAAAAATATTCATTTGATGAAAAGGTAAAATCGTTAAATAATATGGTTTCAACATCTCGATTGTTTCTTACAGTTGTTTTATATTCGAAGATTGGAACAGAAGCAGAGCTCCAGAAAACGATTTTAATTCAGAAGAAAAATTTTCTACAGAAAAACGTGTCTGATAATCTCTCTATTTTATTCGTCCCTTGAATCGTAAACCTGTCTTCAATAATGTTTCATATATTCATGGAGTTATTACAAGAAGCTCTATCGACATGTGTTGAATATTCGGAGAATTTTTACTCCGTATCATGTAGAATAATCCGATATAAATTTCTGATACAAACCTTGTAGTCGAAAGAAATATGTATATTCTTATCTGTAGCAATTTCTTATAGTATATCTTTTACTTTCCATTCGAGAGTATTCTTACGTAGGTACTTATAAATAGATACTTATATCTACAATTTTATTTCTGAATAAAATAAAATAATATTATTAATAATATTAATAAAATAATAATATTAATATTTTATAATATTATTCTCTCCATTATATCGATTCTTTCGTCATGAAAGAACAAAACTTTGAGAAACTTTATGATACTTTAGGCTTTTCCTTTTTTTTCTTTTGTTTTTGAACTTCTATTAATGTAACTAGTTGCGAAAGTACTTTTTATGACCCGGAAAGTTATAACTCAGTTATAAAAATAAATTCTAATTCGCGTTATATCAACACCGTGCAAACTTTTAAAACATTGCACACCGTCAAAATATCGGACCAAACACATTTAGGAAACGAGCGACCGTGTAAGGAAGTTTTCCATAAGCCTGAGTGCTACCAGGGGCATAAAAATTTGCATAAAAATGTAAGAATTGTTCTTTTTGTCGGGCAGGATCTGGCGGAAATAGAGAAAGAAAAAGGTGACGGAGATTACGAGACTATATACGAGCAAACAGACGGCTCGACTACACCACCGTCGGCTGTGAAGAGCAGCGATCACGTAACACGGATATACGCCTGCGCGACAATGTGGCATGAGAACAAGGAAGAAATGATGGAGTTTTTGAAAAGTATCTTACGTTTAGACGAGGATCAGTGTGCCAGGCGTGTGGCCCAGAAGTATCTAAAAGTTGTCGATCCAGACTATTATGAATTTGAAAGTGAGTGTGCCCATTTGTATTATGATTTGTCTGATTATATTTATTTAATGGAGTGAAGCACTAGACAGTTAAAAAATTAAATTGAGCTTCTTTATTTAATAATGATGTTGCATTTTAATTTAGTAATACAAAGTGAAGTATGGTATTTTGCTTTCTCTCATAAATAATTGAGCGAAATATTTAGCATTATATCATAATATTGGCATTAATTCTATAGTATTTTGTAGTTTAATTTTAATATAATTTAATACAGTTTAATTTTTTAGTATTTTATAATTTAATTTTTTTAATATTTTATAGTCTAATTTTAATATAATTTAATATAGTTTAATATCTTAGTATTTTATAGTATTAATTATTATAGTATTGGTATTAATATAACATTATAATATTAATATGATATTAGTATTATAGTATTTAATCTATAGCAATTTAGTAGTTATTATAGTCTAATATTCTTCTCAATACCAATCATTTTTCGAGTCTCAGCCTCATTTTATAATAAGTAAATAATCTGATACTCCTTTCTCCATATAAAAAATATTCTCAAAATTCGTTATTACAGCAATTCGTATTTATATTGAAATAAATCTTCGGCTAACAATAAGAGAGCAGTCCTTCAGGAAACGTCTCTTGATTTCTTTTCAAAGAAACTCGAATTTAAGAATTCCAATTCGTTACGAGGTATTATTGCTCGTTGCTTTAGCTCACATCTTCTTCGACGACGCGTTTGAGCTGTCGGATCACGATGAGAACGAGTCGCAAGTGAACAGGTTCGTGAAATTGTTGGTGGGCACGTTGGACGAGGCTGCATCGGACGTTCATCAGACGCGGATGCACGTTAGGGCACCGAAAAAGTATCCAACGCCTTACGGCGGACGATTAGTCTGGACACTTCCTGGAAAAACGAAGATGATCGCCCACTTGAAAGACAAGAGCAAGATCCGCCACCGAAAACGTTGGAGCCAGGTGCGAGAATCAAAAATTCTAGAAAATTCGCGTCCTGCAGAGCAGATCCTTTTTTTTACTTTCGCTCGTAACGTCAAACTTTCCGAAACTGTCGTTCCAGGTGATGTACATGTATTATTTGTTGGGACACCGATTGATGGAGCTGCCAATTAGCGTAGACCGGAAGGAGGTGATCGCGGAAAACACTTATTTATTAACCCTCGACGGTGATATCGACTTCCAGCCAGCCGCTGTGAAATTGCTCGTCGACTTGATGAAGAAGAACAAAAACCTTGGCGCAGCTTGTGGTCGTATTCATCCAGTCGGATCGGGTGATTTTTTTTTTTTTAAACTTCTAGTTTATAAGTATAAGCAAGAATCAGATGTCAGAAATTTGGAGATGAAAGTTTCTGTTTTCATATCTTTTCTTTGCGACGTTAGGTCCTATGGTGTGGTATCAGATGTTCGAGTACGCTATTGGTCATTGGCTGCAAAAAGCGACAGAGCACATGATTGGCTGTGTACTTTGTAGTCCTGGTTGCTTTTCGCTGTTCAGAGGGAAAGCTCTGATGGACGACAACGTTATGAAGAAGTACACAACGAAGTCCGAGGAGGCCAGACATTACGTTCAATATGACCAAGGAGAGGATCGATGGCTTTGCACGCTTCTCTTGCAACGTGGTTACAGGGTAGGAGAAACCCCTAATCACATTATTGCAATTTTACGATATTTAATTCGTAATTGTGTCTAGCCCAATTTTAAAATTGAGATTCTAAAATAATACAAACGACGATCTTTTCCTTCTTAAATTAAATATTCAGTGAAACATTTTACAAATGTTTCCTAAATTTACTTAAATCGTGTGTTTTGTCAATGCTACAGGTCGAATACTCAGCAGCCAGCGATGCTTACACCCACGCACCCGAAGGTTTCAATGAATTTTACAATCAGCGTCGTCGATGGGTTCCCTCCACCATTGCCAATATCATGGATCTTTTAATGGATGCAAAACGAACGATCAAGATCAACGATAACATTTCTCTTCCCTACATCTCTTATCAAATTCTGCTCATGGGTTGGTTGGACGTTTCTTCGATTTCGTCTCACCTTGAAAATTACTGATTGATAGGTTGTCTGAATCTCATTTCCAGGTGGAACCATTTTAGGACCGGGTACGATTTTCCTCATGTTGGTCGGTGCCTTCGTCGCAGCCTTCAAGATCGACAACTGGACCAGCTTCTATTACAACATCATTCCTATCCTACTCTTCGTGATCGTATGTTTCACTTGTAAAGCGAACATTCAGGTAAGTATCCGTAATCGTGCTTGTCGTAAATGAAGAAAGGAATGTGACGAGCAGTTTCGAAATTCAATCAATCAATCCAATGTTAGCAAAATCATCGTTTTATTCGTCTACGAGATTAAATACGTGTTTTACTGCAATTTATTGTATACTCGATGACGACTTTCACATTTAAAATTAAAATTCAATAATTATTAGTAATTAAAATTCTTTTATTTAACAATGAAAAATATTCTTTTCAAAAATTTTTATTATTAACTCAATTTTGCATCCCACTGTATGCGTAAGTATATTTCGTTGCCATTGTATTTTCACGAAGGTTTGGAAATTACTTTGTTTAATTATATATATCTCAGTCATCGAGCGATGTGTCAAAATTAAAGGATCAACCAAAAATAGTCTCGTCGTGTTTCTTTCCATGTGCTCTTCACGTATTTGTTATACTCGATGACGACTTTCACATTTAAAATTAAAATTCAATAATTATTAGCAATTAAAATTCTTTTATTTAACAGTGAAAAATATCTTTCTCAAAAATTTTTATTATTGACTCAATTTTGCATCCCACTGTATGCGTAAGTGTATTTCGTTGCCACTGTATTTTCACGAATTACTTTATTTAATTACATATATCTCAGTCATTGAGCGATGTGTCAAAATTAAAGGATCAACCAAAAATAGTCTCGTCGTGTTTCTTTCCATGTGCTCTTCACGTATTTGTTATATTCGATGACGACTTTCACATTTAAAATTAAAATTCAATAATTATTAGCAATTAAAATTCTTTTATTTAACAGTGAAAAATATCTTTCTCAAAAATTTTTATTATTGACTCAATTTTGCATCCAACTGTATGCGTAAGTGTATTTCGTTGCCACTGTATTTTCACGAATTACTTTATTTAATTACATATATCTCAGTCATCGAGCGATGTGTCAAAATTAAAGGATCAACCAAAAATAGTCTCGTCGTGTTTCTTTCCATGTGCTCTTCACGTATTTGTTATACTCGATGACGACTTTCACATTTAAAATTAAAATTCAATAATTATTAGCAATTAAAATTCTTTTATTTAACAGTGAAAAATATCTTTCTCAAAAATTTTTATTATTGACTCAATTTTGCATCCCACTGTATGCGTAAGTGTATTTCGTTGCCACTGTATTTTCACGAATTACTTTATTTAATTACATATATCTCAGTCATCGAGCGATGTGTCAAAATTAAAGGATCAACCAAAAATAGTCTCGTCGTGTTTCTTTCCATGTGCTCTTCACGTATTTGTTATATTCGATGACGACTTTCACATTTAAAATTAAAATTCAATAATTATTAGCAATTAAAATTCTTTTATTTAACAGTGAAAAATATCTTTCTCAAAAATTTTTATTATTGACTCAATTTTGCATCCCACTGTATGCGTAAGTGTATTTCGTTGCCACTGTATTTTCACGAATTACTTTATTTAATTACATATATCTCAGTCATCGAGCGATGTGTCAAAATTAAAGGATCAACCAAAAATAGTCTCGTCGTGTTTCTTTCCATGTGCTCTTCACGTATTTGTTATACTCGATGACGACTTTCACATTTAAAATTAAAATTCAATAATTATTAGCAATTAAAATTCTTTTATTTAACAGTGAAAAATATCTTTCTCAAAAATTTTTATTATTGACTCAATTTTGCATCCCACTGTATGCGTAAGTGTATTTCGTTGCCACTGTATTTTCACGAATTACTTGTATTTAATTACATATATCTCAGTCATCGAGCGATGTGTCAAAATTAAAGGATCAATCAAAAATAGTCTCGTCGTGTTTCTTTTCCATGTACTCTTCGCGTATTTGTTGCTTTAACCGTCTTTTTTTTTTCTGTGTATGTCTTTCAGCTTTTGTGCGCGCAGATATTATCGACAGGATACGCGATGATAATGATGGCCGTGATCGTAGGTACGGCTCTCCAACTAGGAGAGGACGGTATCGGCTCGCCATCGGCTATATTCTTAATATCACTGTCCGGCTCCTTCTTCATAGCAGCCTGTTTGCATCCTCAAGAATTTTGGTGTGTCGTCCCTGGCATAATATACCTCCTTTCTATCCCCTCGATGTACCTCCTTCTGATCCTCTACTCGATTATAAACTTGAACGTCGTTTCGTGGGGAACTCGCGAGGTCCAAGTGAAAAAAACCAAAAAGGTTCGTTCGCTCTTTCCTCTGTTCTTCTACTTGGTCAGATTTTGCTTGTCACTTTCAAGGGACTGCAAATTTATCGCGATATCGTACACGTGATATGGTGGTGATGGTGGTGATGGTGGTAGATTGAAGAGTTTGAAATGATTCTCGAAGACGAGTGCTTTTAATCAATTTCAAGCCAGCTTACCGATAGCTTCATTGTCTGCACATGTACGTTCTAACTTGTTTATAATGAAATAGACACTGAGAGTGATATGTTGAAGATACGTATTATTATTATTAACGTTGGAAAAATATTTTTTTTTATCAATAGCAGTAGGATAGTAAATTTCGATTGAGAGAAAGAGATAGCACATATTCCCAATCGAACGTTTAAAAAAGAAATATTGATTATAGGATGTAAAGAAATGATACTTTAAAGTATTGAAACTCAAAATCAATTATATTTAGTAATATTCATCGATAAATGTATGAAAAGATTTATTTCGTCTAAAAAGGGTAAGGTGCTTCAAATTTCTGAATGCACTGGCGCGAAATGTCTAATTGGAAAAAATTACTGTGGCCACTAAATTCAAATAGATTGCTCCAGTATCTTCGACATACATCGCGGATATTTGTTACGAGATCGAACAAGAATGATCAGACTAATAACAGTTAATATTAACAATGGTGTGCTAGGTTTTCATGGCAGCGGCAATAAGTACTGTATACTGTATGCTGATGATCGCGGTGATCGTTGGGACAGCAATTAACGTGGTACAGGACGGTATACTATCGCCAACCGCGATATTTCTAGTGTTACTAATAAGTCAGATGTTTGTAACTGCGTTAATGCACCCCGCGGAGATGTATTGTTTAATATACAGCATCATATACTTCATCACCGTCCCATCTATGTATGTGCTGCTTATTATTTACTCGATCAGTAATCTGAATGACATCACATGGGGCACCAGGGAGGTGAAGACTAAGAAAACTGCTGCGGTAATTATCTGCTCACTCTTAACCAACTAATCTTCCTCTGCAAATTTACGCAAGTTCAAATCAAATGAAATAACTGCAGTTACTCTATTTCAGACATTTTATTTTAGTTTATTTCTGCATTTACTCTCTGCACTTTATATTTCTGTATTTTTTTTTTTTTTATAAAATTAATATCATACACCTTGAAACGAAAGAATTAGACGCGTGAATTCTGAAATTATGATCTATCGGTTCTTATCATCGATTCTTGATCTCTTTTAATTACACCTGCCTTGATTTTCGTTAATCTTCTTATTTACAGGAGTTAGAATGATTATTGACTATTCTCAGTGTGCACGCTGTAATCTCTAATCGAAGCGAATCAGTAAATTCAAATCCTTTTCATATCAAACGTCGATGGTATGGCTGACATTACGAGATTACGATTAAATCCCACTATCCGATCTATGTAATTTATCCGTACGTGCATATACATACATCAATCGTGCGAACTACACGAGTAAATTCTCTGAACTCGGTTCAGCTAAATACATTGCATTACGCGGATGATATTCAGTTGGGATAACAGAATTCTGAATGGTTTCTGTTGTGAAGATTAGTTATTAAGAAGTTATGTAGAAGTAACAAAGAAACTAGTAAATCGGTATTTTGAGATGCACCGTGAAAGTTTTAATTTTCGCGTTAATAAAAATTAAAGAATTTTTAAAATTTAATAAATTACTGTTTTTCAAACACGCAAGCAAACGAATTCTATTAATTTTCTACAATACTATTTTCCTATAAATGCAAACGTGTATCAAGGTGTCAATTTGATTTGTACATATTCAAAATCCACGAGTGAAAAATAATTGATATGTCGCGTTTGAACGTCCAAATATCTAACGAACATTCTTCTAAAAAGTTTCAAGGTGTAACACTTTCTGATGTTTGATATTACACTTGTAGATATAACGGTAATCACAACTAACGAATTAATAATACGCAATTAATATTTTTACCTGCTGTTGCCTCTTTTAAGAAAACAGTGCTCATATACTTTTCGTGCATGCAATCAAAATTAAAATAAGCTAACAAATGTATATTCGTCTCGCTAAATCGATAGGAACTTGAACAAGAGAAAAAGGAAGCCGAAGAGGCGAAACGGAAGGCGAAACAGAAATCTCTGCTGGGATTTCTTCAAAATGGCGTGGGCTCGAACGACGACGAGGAAGGATCGATAGAAATTTCCCTGGCCGGACTGTTCAAGTGTATGTTTTGCACTCATGGACAGACCTCGAACGAGAAACAGCAATTGGTCGCGATTGCTGAATCTCTGGAGCAAGTTGGCAAACGTCTGGAAGTCATTGAAAGGTTCTTTGATTTAACATCATCGTTAAAATATGCATCGATTAACTTCATTAATTATTTCGACGAATGAGTCTAAGAACTTTTTCGCGTTCCTTTCATATTTCTATTTCACTTCTTTGAATTGAATTCCTATATCTATTAATATATCTGACAGAATTCAGACAAACAAAATTCTTATCAATTTTCACGGCGAGTTAAAACTTTAAGTCCAGAGACTTAGTGGATTTTTATTTTGTGCGTGTTTTACGCGAAATATTAAATTATAAATAATAAATGAAAAGTTAATTATAAAATTAATAAACATTTTAATATTATCAATATTAAAATAATATTAAATAAATTAAATATTACTTTAATATTTATTATATTAATGTTATAATATTAGTTATAAAATTAGTAATAAAATATTAAATAAATTTAATATTATTTTAATATTTATTATATTAATATTATAATATTAGTTATAAAATTAACAATTAAATTACTATCATTAAAATTATATAATTTTGCTCTATTTGAATTTATTAGAGCCGTGGATCCTCATGGAGTGACAAGCCGGCGTCGTGCATCTTCCGTGGGCTCTCGAACAGCTGATCATTTAGGCGCTATTGGCGAAGATCCAGCGGAGGATCAGGACTGTCAAAGTGAAGCTGAAACGGTGACTAGTCAGAATACGGAAGGAAATCGCGAGGGTAGCAATTTCCTCAGCAGGCCTTACTGGTTGAGCGACGAGGGGCTCAAGAAAGGCGAAATCGATGTGCTTTCGCTACAAGAGGAACAATTTTGGAAGGATCTTCTGGAGAAGTATCTGTATCCTATAGACGAAGACAAGGCAGAGAAGGTAAAAAGTTTTAATTCGAACGTAGCCATTAGCAGATTCTGTAATTTGTATCTCTTTAAATTTGAAAAGAATTTTCGTTTATCTTCCCCTCTTTTTTTTCTTCTATAACTGATTGAATTTAGAGTTTTAATGGATTTGGAAGAGTTCTTTTTATTCGAAAATTTTGTTCACGTCTAGATTGTTCTGCGATAAAAGTTTTGAAGTACATACTGTGTAAACGAGTAGAATTACAAATTACTTGTAAGGCTAAGGTAGTATATTTGATATTTTATTTGTTAATGAAGTTTGGCAATATTTGTTAATTGAACATGTGCAATTAATGTCGAGGATGTATCACATTGGTGGAATTATTAATTTCATTTTCTTCATTTCAGTTTAATGAGTTTCATTTCAGTGTAGCTTTACTTGCAAACTGTAGAGTCTAAAATAATTTTCGTAGAATATTCGAATTAAGTAATAATAATTATCGTTAAATTAAACTAAATAATCATTCTAAAAATAAATAATCATTCTAAAATCGTTTCGACTCTCGGTAGTATTCTTTCACAGTGTTTTCAATTTTAATTTCATATAGTTAGTCAGAATTTTTAGACCTTTTTAGGCCAGAACAAGATAAAGAAATTTACAACAAAATACTAGAACTTGAGAAAAAAGAAAAAATTTGGAAGAAGTAATCAGAAAAGTAATTTTTTTTTTTTACATTTGTACACAAAATAACGATTGTTTACGATGCTAACGATCGTAAGAATGAAAATAATCGATGCATGCTACTTGCGTCAGGCACGAATCGCCAAAGATCTAAAGGACCTACGTGACCAGAGTGTTTTCGCATTTTTTATGATGAACGCCCTCTTCGTGCTGATCGTCTTTCTACTACAATTAAACAAAGATTTGTTGCACGTGAAATGGCCTTTCGGTATCAAGACGAACATCACCTATGATGATCACTCGCAGGAGGTAAAGACCGCTCCGTCCACGTCGCGTTGTCCTGCTTCTTGCGTTATATTCCCCTTTCCCAAACCGAAAACAAGAAAAGAGATGAAAAGAGACGAAATACAGCAAAACATTTCAAATGCTAAGATAACGCCGTTGCGAAATTTATTTTTCCACGATCGAAAGTTAAAAGAAAAGATATCATGCAACGATGAACGTTATAATCGAGAGAGAATGTTAGTCTCGTGGAATTAGAAATTAAGAAAATCGTAGAAAAAATATATATATATAAAGTAAACGCGATACAAGTTGAAAGCATTGAAATTGTTTTGCAGAAAGATAATAGCTCGTAATAAGCGAATTTAACGTGTTTCTTCATCGCTTGTTGAAAAGCTTTCTAGAGAATGAAATTATGCTTAAAGGACTCGAACGATCTTGGAGAGGATCCCCAACCCACCCTGCCCCCCTCGAAAGGAGCCGATGGATCAATGATCGACCGGACGGAGCGTATTTTTCTTCATATCTTTGCTAATCTGTGCTTTTTCTTTTTTTCTTTCCCTCTTGCTGGCTCCACGACAGGCTCGCATTGCCGCTGACCTAATCGAGCTGCGGAACAAGAGCGTGTTCGCGTTTTTTATGTTCAATGCGTTGTTCGTTCTGATCGTATTCTTGCTCCAGCTGAACAAAGATCAGCTGCACGTTGTCTGGCCGCTCGGCGTCAGGACGAATATCACCTACATCGAAGAGACCTCGGAGGTACCTGGTAGTGTTCCAAAACGAAAAGCAAAGATGCTGTCTCACTGATACCTCGGGAGACTAACACATCCGTGTGCTCCGTTGCTCGTGCCTAATTCTTTCTCTTCCTTTTTTTTCTTTTCTATTCTTCTCTTTCTTATTCCTTCGTTCTCGTCTTTTTTTTTTTTTTTATAACGATGTACGTCAAGTTTGAACTTAATGATTTCCGTTTCACGCGTACATATATTCAAATACGTTCGTACAGCCTTCGATTTTTCTGGCAAATCTCTCTGTCATTTGCGAATAATTTCTTTGTCATTTAATTTTACTTACGCGAGCAGTATGTTGATCTTTTAAATTAATTACGCGAGTGTAATTGAATGTTCAGATACTTTAATAATCGCATTGAATTAACATCCGTGCATACGTATTGAAAACTACACTGATTAATTATTGTAACACACGTTCGAAATCTCTGATTAACTTTAACTTTCGATTTTGCAACGAGAACGAATCAAAGTCGAACGATTTTGCGTTTTTTGAAATGATCGTTTCATCTAGTTCTTTTTAATTCAAAGTTTATACGTAGACATAGTACGTTCGCCTCTTTAGTTTAGATTTCAGGATAGATGCCAATTAGATATTTAGCAATTTCTGATTTTATCATTCGTACCACAAACTACTCGGCTCAAAGTTGAATTAGAACTTGATAAACCTCCCAGTTAAATTCGTTCGGAATTGAAATTCATATATTGAACCTACGAGTGAATTTTAAATTTAAAAAGCATAAAAATTGGATTGGTCTCTCAGTTTGAGAAACGTAGGAATGAAATTGGAATCCAATAAACTCAGGGGGCAAATTTTTAATACAGAAATGAATTCTTTTTTTTTTTTTTTTCTTTCCAAGAGAAAATTACTTCTGCCCCTCTCTAGAGAAAAGAAGTAAAGAAATTGCTAAAAATCATAGAAAGAGGGGAGCACGCGGAGGAAAGTACTAGCATTTGAGTAGTGAGCATCGGAGCACGTTGGAAATGGTATACCCGGTGATAATGTTGCACTTGTTGGGACATGTCTATGTTTTGTCAATAACGTGGATATCGTGAGCACCTGGCGAATTACCATTAACATGTTTGCACAGGTACGCCCGAAGCGAATGGAAAACCTGGGGCAGGATCAACCAACTGACTAGAAACTAGTTAGCCAAGTCAGAAATAACATCGATTCCTTGTTAATCCCGTCCACCTTCCTCGTTCTGTGTCTCTAGTTTCGCCTCAATGTGTCTCTCTGAAGAAAGAAAACGAAACAAAAACGTCATCGAGCGTTGTCATCCACGTTATTAATTTTGTCACCTTGATTAACGTCGACATTTTTGTTAATTAACGCTGCTGAAGTCCAAAGAACGAGCATAAAATCGCAGATTATTTTCAACTGCAACGTTACACGTACGCTTGTGTTTATTAACTTCGTTAAATTGGGAAGAATTTGTATACTGAATGGAAGTAACATTTTGGTAATCAAAAATGGAAAGTTTCGAAGTAGATTTCGTATTATTTTTATACCGGGAAATTTTCGTGTAGATAGATTTGTTAGTATAAAATTTCAATTGGCGTAAAGTTCAACTCGTCGCAAAAGTTTATTGGTATCAAAAAAAATCTAAATGATTTTAACACTCGTTGTTACAAGATTCGTTTCAGTGTTCAGTACACTTAAATGAAAACATTATAAAGAATTGGATCTCAGAAATCACAGTTTCCATTCAGTTGGGAGTTTCTCCAGTTTTCTCAAAAGTTCTTTCGATTTCTGTACACCTTTTGGCTCTTTCGTAGTTGTCCGTTTTCCCCAGGGCTCGAGTTAGAAGTTTTAGTTTCTAATTTAGCTTCTTTTAGTTTAGTTTTCGGTGTACAGTAGCGTGCGCACGATTTCCAGATCACGAAAGAGTCGAAAGGAACAGCTTTAAACTTGCCCCGTCTCGTTTTTCTTTCTTTTTCTCATTTTTTTCGCACGTCTGGCTAAATAAGAACGAGGGAGGAATTGTCACACAGGTTCTCATGTTCTTCCTTTTTTTATTTTTTTTTATGTGTCTAATTCTGATAATGCACTGCTAGGTATGGCAGCAGACGAGCACCACTAACGAGTTACCGTCGACATAACTAAACGGTGGCTTATACACGTGTCTGGAATTTTTAAAACGTATTTTCTGCGGCGATTCTGTCCGTACGAACGAATGGCCAACCGTAAGGATAACGAAGAAATGAATCGACAAATATTTTCTAATACGTAGTTGATTGAAATTTTAATTGGCACGAAAGAACTTCATTGATTATTACTCTGAAAAAGGCTATCGTTACGTACGTTCAGAAAATGAATTATTGTTATTTCGTTACGCGTCACGAATCATAATTACATTTCATATTTTATCCCATAAAAGAGTGAAAAATGAAAAATACGTGGCGTAAGTCAATTTACTGTTAATTCTGCGTTTATTATTATAAATAGAAGCCATTTTTCCTGCGTTTATTATAAATAGAATTCATTGTATTTTTTTGTGAAAACTTATATACCGGCGGAAAATGAACTTTCGACTAGATCAAGGATACTTGCACAAATTGAAATTTTGATGGGCATCATGTTAAAAGAAAAAAAGTAGATAAATTAAATCGAAACTTTCTTTAATCTTTAAATGTTATAACGAGTATTTCAATTTGGATATTTCGTATATTCTTTAATATTATGTTCGTTATTTATATCTTCTTTTTATAAACGCATGAAAGTGTATGTAATTAAATCTAAATCTTCTCGAAATCTTAACTTACGCCATTATGATTTTCATTGTACATGCGTTTCGTTTCGTAATGAAGTAACAATGAAAACCGCAGCTATTGTGAATTGTTTTACGTGTTCTCTTTTCTCAATTCTATACTGTGGTATAATATTTATTACGACTGTAATAGTTTATCAATAATTTGTTCTAACAACGAACGTATCTCGTAGGTACACGTCACGAAGGAGTATTTACAACTTGAACCAATCGGTCTGGTATTTGTATTCTTCTTCGCGTTGATATTGGTTATTCAATTCACCGCGATGCTGTTCCATCGATTTGGCACGTTCGCTCATATTCTAGCCAGCACCAGTTTAGATTGGTACTGCTGCAAAAAGGTGAGTATTTTCTGAAATTGTTGGCCTATGAAATTTTACCGCCATCAGTATCGAAAAGTTTTTCATTGTTCAAGATGACTTTTTCTTTGCTAGAAGTTAGCGATGAGAAATTCTGAATTTTCTTGTTGTTATTTTCATCATTATTGTTGCCAATAATTATCAATTATGTCGTCAATAATTAATACGTTCAAAATTTTACGCAGCTCTGTTTACTAGTCACAGGCATAAATAAATTAAATTATGGCGTTATTATAAATTATGGAGTAATTAATGATTCATTCGGATAGTACAGTAAATATATCCATAAGTAATGTTTACGTTACAGATAATGTAATAAATTACACATTGGCATTCTCAATTATAATCCATTATAAATGAAACAATAAAAATCTCTCCTCTTTATAAAGTATTGCAGATTTGAAATAGAATAGGAATCAGAATTAAGAGAAACTTTTCATTCTGTTACTTTCAGTCTATTCTCATTTCTATAACTATATTAATACAATTAAAATAACGATTTGGAATATTTGATTGTAATTATGATATGCAAAACTTTTATAATATTTTTTTTATAATATTATAATATAATTTATAATATTTATAATATTATAACATAATTTGTAATATTTATAATATTATAATATAATTTATAATATTTATAATATTATAACATAATTTTTAATATTTATAATATTATTTATAATATTTAATTTATAATACTTATGATATTATTTATAATTTATAATATTTATAATATCATTTATAATATTTATAATATTATAATTTTATAATATTTTTTTTATTTAAACCATCAGACGAAGGATTTGTCGGAAGAAGCATTATTGTCAAAACACGCGGTGGAGATAGTCAGAGATTTGCAAAGATTAGACGGCATGGAGGGTGATTACGAGGAGGGAAGTGGCAGTGGTCCAGGCAGAAGGAAAACGATAAGAAATTTGGAAAAGAGCCGTAGGAAAACTCAGGCAATCAATACGCTCGATGTTGCTTTCAGGCGACGGTTCTTCAATGACGGCAATGGTACGTCAAAATATTTTGCACGAAACTTTTGCACTCACCATAGAAATTGATCGAACGGCGAGAAATTTGAATTGAAAAGTATCTCGTGGCTTTCTTACAAATTGAAAAAAAAAAAAAAAATACTGGAGAAATATTGAAGAGACGAAAAGATGAAAATATCTTTCAAGTGAAAAATTACAAAGATGAAAGAGATTGAAAAATATTCAAGCATTTATCGCAATTTGAATTAAGAAAGAAAGACAGAGGACGAATTAATGAAAAGTACAATTATATTATTATATCTTTCACGAATATATATTTTTTTTTTAATTTTCTGTTATGCACAATTTACTTCTCTCGCACTCGTAAAGCTTCAGATTATAATAATCACTGAAATATTTTTCAATCCCTTTTATGGATTTATTTACGAAACGGGGACTGGCAATGTGGTGAATTTAAATCTGCAAACATTTCCAGATTCCATGTAAATATGAAAAAAATATAATAAAAAATAAAATAAAATACTAGCTCTAGTATTTTAGAGAATGAAAGTTCTTTCTGCTCTTCAATTTCGTCCATTTTCTATCTCTTCAGCAATATATTTTGTAAAATATTAAGCAAATGCACGACGATGTTCCTTGACGAATGCTTTCAATTTAGGTCTGCCAAGGAACATGTCGACCAGAAGGTCCGCAAAGGCTTTTAAAGCTTTCGAGGGACGTAGAAACAGCATAATGGCGATGAGAAGGAAATCGCAGATGCAAACGTTAGGGGCGAATAACATTTACGGCGTGGCGGGCAATCCTTTGGGGATACAAGGTCGCCCTTCAAGGAGCAGTCAAATTTCTGTGAAGGATGTGTTCGAGGGACACGCCAATTCCGCTTACGAGCCCGACGAAAATACCGGAAGTAGCCTCAGACTTCATAATTTGGGTCAGAGTACGTGGAGAGAAGCGAACACTAACATCTGATTCAGACGAATTCTTCACGCAAGTAGGTGAATTGGTTACGAAACGTTAAGATTGAATGATTGGTTTGCTTTAAAATGAGTGTCGTTTGCTACAGACTTCTTTTTCAGTAATATTTCAATTATTAAGAATTTAATTGAATCCATATTTTTCGTCCAGAAGAAATTTAGTATCGCTTTATTAAATAATAGTAGCGGCGATTGTATTATTCCAATTTTTATATTTTAATTTCCACGCAATACCTCGCTAGTAATTTGGACAACAATCCACTTCTATTGTATGATCGAGCGTTTAATTTGATTGGTATCTCGATTAATTATTCTGCTTATACCATTGCTGTGTCGTGATTTATGTGTATTCGAATCACATATTGTTTCTAAATGATTGATGCAACGAGATAAATTGGAAATTGGTCGAAAAGTTAAAGGAACCGTTATTTTTCAGGTGAACAACAACTCATCAAAGGTGTTTCACGAGGAACGAACAATGGTTCTCACTTGCTGTTAAGTGCCACAGCAATGGAATCGAATTTCCGATTGAAATTACATCGTGGCGCTATTTAAGCGCTCCGTTTGGCAATCATCTATTCATTATACAATTCTACACGATGTAGTACGAAATGGAGTACGAAAAGACTGCCGCCGAGTTGACTAATTTATGACGAAGTGGAAAATGGAAGAACAGGGCCTTTCTTGAAACTCTCTGTTTATTCGTTAAAAATAAAAGGAGAGCCGAGCAAAGTTCCTTTCCTCGTTAGAAAAAAGGAGCAACTAATTCAGCAAGAAGGAAAGAAGAAAGAAGATTGTAGAGGAATAGAAATATTTATTTTCATCGCCGATAATTTTGACACTTTGCGAAATCTGAGTTTTTTTGTCTTTATCTTTATTTCTTCTATTTTCTTTTCTTCTTTTACTCGTGATTAGATATTTAAGATGAATGAACTGACCGGTGAGTAAACGATATTTGTTAGGGCAGCTATCGCTGCACGATACGAGAATAATTCTCTATTTAGGTGATTAATCGAAAATAATTAACGTTAATAGCCTTCGTCGTATCAAACGAGTATTACTCATACAGCTATCACTCATACACGTGTGTGACAGTAATCACAGCGACGACGCTTACATTCCTTTCATTTTTTCTTTTTCTTTTTTTTTTTTTTTCTTTTTTGTGAACGTGATAAACGCCGTTTATATAGGCACACTCATTGTATTTAATAGATATACAATCCTTTTTGTACATATCGCGTGCGTACGTGTTAATGTTAAGCGCTGTAGAGAAATCGTTGTTGGTTGTATATGAAATAAAGTTCGGACGATCAACACCCAGCCTTGAATTCATTTGATCCAATTGTTTCTCTCACACGATTCAGAAGTCGAAGATCAATTTGTGACAAGAGAAATCACAAAACTAGACGTATCAACTTTTATTTCTTTTATGATGAAATTCAATTACCTTGTAAAATCTGATATCTATAAGATCGTATAATAGAATTCGATCAACTTGCCAGAGAAGCAATTAATCAATTTCGTATTCATACAAAATAACGATTTGAAATATACGAAAAATTTGTGAAAATTATTCACAATAATTAACTATTATCAAAGTAAAATATACCAAAATCTCTTCTTTCGAATTTCGTTGAAGAAATATTAAATATTACATATTAAATATTAAATATTAAATATTATCATCACTATGCTTTAATAAATAAAGTATACAGATAGATGACTGCATTACATACATATATTATAGTTCAATTTTATAGACATATAATGTAGAGACATTTTAAGGAATATATATATATATGTATATAAAGCAAGCAGAGAGAAAAAGAAATCTTTACGACGTGCCATTTTGTCGTAGAGCTTCCGTCATGCACATGACATAAGTTGCCATCAAGTAATCATTAATGGTACGCCGCATGGTCCATCTCTGATAAAATCCTTCTGGAGACAATGCCCAATTTGCCAGAAGTAAAGGATAATTTGCCACTACCGCGTAATTGTTGCCTACTGCATATCTGATCAAAGCACTGAATTAATATCTAATTAATATAATTAATTAAACTATCATCCGCAATTAATTTCCATACGCGAAACTTCCACCAAGAATCACCCAATTGAAAATGTTGAGCCTCGATTCGTACGTAGCTTTTGTTTGACTAACATTATCGTAGAAACGCGATGTTTCCATTTCCTGAAAAATTAAAATTCAGACCGTCACGCTTGAAATATATTTTATGCAATCTTTTATCTGGAAGATGCATATATATAGCTTTTATCTTTAAATTAAACAAAATTTAAATTAAAACGAAGTAAGTATTTTGGTCGCAGGCCAAAGATAAAGATTTAGCAATTTATGCTGCATCATTTTAATTAATGGATAAATAAATATTGTGCACGTGATGTTACTTCTCCATACTATTATCAGACTGTAATCAATTATATTTAAAAGTGAAAATTATAATAACAATATTCTCATTTCTGAGAATGTATAAAAAGAAATTAATTTCGTTTCGATCCAAAAAATTAGATTTGCACTAATGTGCGCGGGATTTAAATCAATGCATCTTTTTAACAATCCACTGCGACCTACGATATTTTTTAGAACGGTACTCCCCGCAATATTAATTCGAAGCTTAAAACTGTACAAAAGTTTTCGCGTGATGTTTTATAAAACAGATACCTCCGGCTGCTTCTTCGTCATTCTATGCAATTTGAAGAAATCTAAAATTGATAAGCTAGTTACAACGCAGACGCCGAGCACGTAATATCCGTGACAAGAGTACAGGGAATAAATTAACCCGGCCATGCTTAATGTCCTGAATATCTCGTCTAGAATGTTGAATCGTTCTTTGCACCTCTCTTCCTCTAACTGCATCACAACTGGATCGAAAGCTAGAAAATAAAGGTAGAAACTTTCGTTTGGATAAAATCATCGTTTCATTAATTCGTTTAGATATTATATGATTAATGTTACAAGAACGATTACTCGTTAATCTTTCATTTTGATTATCGAGATAACTTTTAAAATTAATCCTCGATTAATTGATCGTGAAAAGATGCATCGAAACGATCGATCACTTACCGTACTCCTTAACGAAAAGTTTATACGTAAGAACGATCAAGGATCGAGTGCCAACCATCGCGATACTGGCGCAGGCACACGTTAGATGTGTCAACAATTTCGAATATTGAGCGTAAGAGTGTTTTATCAGAACATAAATGGAGGATCCGCATGTCAAAATCAGATTCGTGCATGAGAAAATGGATTCCACTATCATAGCATAATTTTCGTAAATTAAATACAAGCAGAAATTAATTTATAGTAGTAACAAATACTGCGAAACGTTCAAGATCATCGAATGGCGAAAAGAGATCGTAAATAATTGTCACTAACTGGTATTATTAATATTGACATTTAAACATGGTTGGAAATAAATGTCACTTGTTTTTTCCATCATCTAACCTTTAAATAATAAATCATTAATTTAATAATAAATGTTAAGATCCTCACTGAATATTGCGATTAATTAAATATTTTAACTTTATCGATATAATCAAGTCTTATAGAGGTGTTAATAAAATTTCAAAATGTTTCGTGCAACACACGTAATATGTTCATAAGAAATATTTGAAAATTACCCACGTAATATTTACACGGTTAATAAACAAAAACAAAGAGAGGAAAATTTACAACTGAGAAATTACTGTGGCATACTATACCATGAAGTGCGCGATATAAATTTGTAAAAAACATTTATCGATACATTTAGCGATGATAATTTATTCGCAAGTCAAAAATGATCGAATTATGCACGATCGAGTTACACCGAGATGAAAATTATCAATGCTACGTTCGCGCAACGATTCGTTTGACACGATGACTCGTGACAGAATTGATAAGCACGCGTTAGAAAAGTGCGAGAATATCAATGAACGTGCGTGATATGACGCTATGCAAAAAATATTTCTCATTGTGATTTGTATGTTGATCGCGATATACATGATAATAGCAGCAGATAACGTTCGTGCAACTGTCCATATCACTGAGAACATTGTTAACCATCCTGTTTACAGTAACAGTACCACTAGAACCATAATGGTAGATAACAGTGTAAGTATGTATAAAAAAATCGCGTCGAACAATCTAAAATTACTGCCATCGTTGTTTAACGAAACGAAAAATGTTGCAATTTTATTCGATAAAATTCGATTGAACTCAATATGTCGCGATCATAACCAATTGGCAGTTGACTGCTCAAGATTATGGTCATGATCGAATCGTTATCATTACGTCATCATTAGGGATATTAATTATAGAATGTTCGTTATAGAACGTTAATTTTTACACTACGGAAACAGTGAAAAAATCGCAAGAAGATATCCTAGTGAATTTGTATCGAGCTAACTGTACCGATTTGTCAGCGATCCTCGAACAATGGCGGAGAGATATTAATGAACGGAATAACGGCAGTACGGTGGAAAAGAATTTCGTTCGAATGAACGACTTAGAATTAGTAAATATCGAAGAGGCACGGTACAAATCGAAGTCTGTTCCTATGACGGATCACGAAGTCAGTTATCCTTATCCTTTCGCAGATTATATTCATCCTCGATTTTGCGCTGATTATTCGTCCATAAGTGCATATAAAAAGCAGCACCATCGACTTGTCAGAAATCTGAAATCGATTACAGTTACTCACGATCGTGAAAACACTAAACGGGCGAGGAGGTGGTTTTTCCGTGGCAAACGGAAAGAGTCGAGGCAGAACTCTTCGATCGATGAAGATTTGAAATCGAGGGACCAGTGGAATAAAACGTTTCTATTGCCAACACTGGTAGGAGCATCGCAGGTACAACGAGCTATCAGTGAAACGTCGTCCACGTCAACTCTTACAAGTCAAAATTTAGATCTGTATCGAATATTGAGATTGCACCTAATCCCTAAGAAAACCACCGCTTTCGTTAAGAAAAGGAGAAAAAGAAATATTAGGAATAGGAAAGTCGCGGATGATCGGACGACGAAAAACTCACAAAACGAAGTAACTGCTTATACAGGTTTTATGAACATGCTATATATAACTGAATCGCACGTTGAATCTCAGTTAACTTATAACACTGAAGAACAAAGTGAAATAGATCTGTTGAAGACGACATTGAGTTGGCTGGATCAATTAGAGATTGCAACTACAGAGAAAGTAACTGAAGAATTACAATCATATTATGGTTACGGTGAATATAAGGAAGAAACTACGAAAGAGACAACTAGTTGGCTTGACCATGCTGGTACGATATCAGTAACGCTAAAAGAAACAATCAGATGGAACGAACCAGAGATTACTACACAAAATACAATGCTTTCTACAACCGAAACTACTGTAGCGAGGATAGAACCCGTAATAACTGAACTTCCTAGCACTACGGAATATTTAACATCAGTGACAATGTCTGTAATAGAAGTAACTACTGTATTAACAACTAGTACCCTTACAATGCCAGTAATAACCACTATTAGAACAGCTAAGAAAAGCACAACACAAACGACAACTATTGAACACATAGAGAAATTTAAAAACTCAATCTATAAAATAACTCCAACACCAGACTTAATTGCAGTTACAACGAGAACATTCCCAACAACAATTAAGGAAACGATAGAGGAAACAACAATTACAAGAACAGTAATGTTCGAAGAAAGAACCCGAACAACTTTTACTTCATTTCCTAATGCTACAACGACTAAAATCACAAAATTTGAAACAACAACAGCAGTTCCTATAACTACAAAAACCATTGCAGTGTATACCGAAATAACAACAATACAACTGCAAGAAAAAACTACTGCTACAGTTTGCACAACAACAATACTAAAAACAACGACTGCAAAAACTGTAATAGAAATAACTACAGTAATCACAACAGTATCACCTGAAGTAAATATTATTAAACCTACTACTATTACGACCACGATATTACCAACAACTACTACGAAAACGATAAAAGAAGAAACTACAGCAACAACAACATCCGTCACTGAAACAGACACTGATATTACAACTACGACCACGATGCTGTCAGTAGCCATGGAGATTACAACAGAAGAAATGTTAGGAATAACAACGCTAATTCCTGAAACACCTACTATTTTCATTACTACGACAACGATGTCGACAACGACTGCTATGGAGATCACAGCAGAAGAAATGTCAGTAACAACAACGCCAATTACTGAAATAACTATTATTCCTATCACTACAATTACGATGATGTCAACGACTACTGTGGAGATCACAACAGGAGAAATGACAATAATAACAATGCCAAATCCTAAAATAACTATTATTCCTATCACTACCACTACGATGTTGGCGACGACTAGTATGGAAACGAAAACAGAAGAATTGACAGTAACAACGACGCCAATTCCTGAGACAATTAATATTCCGATTATTACGACTAGAAGGTTGCCGACCACTACTGCGGAGACCACAATAGAAAAAATGACAGTAACAACAATACCAGATCCCGAAACAATTATTACTATTCTTACAACGACTACGGTGCTGACGACGGCTACTGCAGAAACGACAACAGACGAAATGACAGTAACAACAACGCCAATTCATGAAATATCTGCTGTTCTACTTACTATGACTACGATTTTGCCGACGACTACTGTGAAAACGACAACGGAAGAAATGATAATAACAAAAACGCCAATTCCTGAGATAACTATTATTTCTGTTATTACAACTATGATGTTGCCAAAGACTACTGTGGAGACCACAATAGAAGAAATGACAGTAACAACAACGCCAGTTCCTGAAATATTTACTGTTCCTCTTGCTACGCCTACGATTATGCCGACGACTACTGTTGTGACCACAACAGAAGAATTGACACTAACAGCAACGCCGATTCCTGAGACTACTATTATTGCTGTTATTACAACTACGACGTTGTCAACCACTACTATAGAGACCACAGTAGAAGAAATTACACTAATAACAACGCCAATTCCTGAAATATCTACTGTTCCTGTTACTACTACTACAACGATATTGCCGACAACTATTGTGAAGAACACAATAGAAGAAATGACAGTAACAACAACGCCAGCTCCTGAAATATCTACTGTTCCTGTTACTACGACTACGATGCTGCCAACCACTACTGTGGAGACCACAATAGAAGAAATAACAGTAACAACAACGCCAATTCCTGAAATATCTACTGTTTCTGTTCCTACAGCTACGACGTTGCGAACGACTACTGTAGAGACCACAACAGAAGAATTGACAATAACAACAACGACGATTCTTGAGACTACTATTATTCCTGTTATTACAACTACGATATTGCCAACCACTGTTGTGGAGACCACAATAGAAGAAATGACAGTAACAACAACGCCAATTCCTGAAATATCTACTGTTCCTGTTACTACTACTACGATGTTGCCAACCACTACTGTAGAGACCACAACAGAAGGATTGACAGTAACAACAACGCCAATTCCTGAAATATCTACTGTTCCTGTTACTACGACTACGATGTTGCCAACCACTACTGTGGAGACCACAATAGAAGAAATGACAGTAACTACAACGCCAGTTCCTGAAATATCTACTGTTCCTGTTACTACGACTACGATGTTGCCAACCACTACTGTGGAGACCACAATAGAAGAAATGACAGTAAC